CCACACACACACACACACGCACACACATCCTCCTCCCCTGAACACATGGAGGCGAGACATTGCAGACCCATTTGGGCTGTCACAACCTGTTACACTGTCTGTGCAAATGGAGTCCAACATTCCGCACACCCATTTCTGTTGCAGCGACCTCCCATTATTCAGCCCATGGAAACCTCCTAACAACACCACCTTCACCCCAGACACTTGACTATTTTCCGACGTCGACGACACTCTAAAGAGTCTAAACACCATTGTTGCCGCGCACATTCCCCCACGGATAGAGAGTGTGCCGGTTTATCCGCTTATCCTCTGCCTCCCTCACCCCCAACCTGCCACTATTTCCCTGTGGACCTGTTTCGGCCAAGTTCGCACTTCCCAAATGGTTTGTATCTTCTAAAACTGACGCCCACATCGTAAGACCTAAGACCTGGAATCAATGCAGATTCGTCAAATGGTTCCTGAGGGATACCCAAATCACAAGACCTGGAATCAATGCAGATTCCTCGAATCTGCAAGGTTTGAAGAAGCTGCATGGAATAAATAACGTAGCGCTGAAGTCAAGACCCCCCACCAATCTACGAGGTTCGCAAAAGCTACACGCAATATATAGCTCAACCTAACTCTGCAGCAGTGGAGATTGACTTGCCACCATACTTCCCCACACAATACCAACCACTCTCCCTTTCCATTTGGAACAGACCCAAATGCAGCTGGACAGGTGTAGATGGCGAATGGCGAACCCATCACCACCCCCTCCGCCTCCCACTCTCCCTCTCCATTTCGAACAAACCCAAATGCTGCTGGACAGGTGTAGATGGCAAATGGCGAACCCATCACCACCCCCTCCACCTCCCACTCTCCCTCTCCATTCGGAACACACACACACACACACACACACACACACACACACACACACACAAGCACACACACACGCGCGCGAAAGCGGCTGAAATAGCCATGAGCACGCCGCTGATCTTCTCCACACAACCGCTACTTATTCCATCCACTTCAATTACTCTGTTCGTTGCCGATGACGAGCGATCCAACAATCAATCATCCCGTGCACAAAGTGTTCTCGACCCATTGCCGGCATTTCTCGGGGGATGCGGCACGGATGCTGAAGCGCTTGTGGACTAGAATTTCCACGACACAGATCTCGTCAGCTGAGCCTTGCCCTTCTTCTCATCCTCCAGACTCACAAGGCCCAGGTGCGACGGATCTTCCAACATCATCCTCGCAACCAAGTACCCGGCGATCGACCACGTCTGCTGCTTCCGTGCTTGCTTTCCAATATACCGCCCCAGCTTTCCATCGTAATACTCCGGCCAGCCATCCTGACCAACTCTCTTCTCTGCCAACTCGATTGCCCGCCTCGCCATTTGTGGCCGTCCTGTCTTGATCGCCGCCGCCGTGAGCATCCAAAGCAGCACTGTCATCGAAAAGAATCACCGTGAGAATCCAAAGCAGCACTGTCATCAAAAAGAATCACCATGAGCACCCATCGTTTATTTTGTTTTCTTTTCTTTTTTTTTTGGGGGGGGGGATTCCGTACATCATAATCATGCGCGCAAGATGAGCCAGACAATTTCATTTCCAAAGAAAAAGAAAGGAAAAAGGATTTCATAGGTCGATAAGCATTTTCGTAGACTGGACAAAAAAAAGATGGGGAACCCGGAGAAGACATCTTCCCCCGAATAATACACCGACTTTAAGTCGCCCCCAATACCGCAACAATGACCCCAGGTCGTATTCAAGGAAAGCAGCAAGCATGCTCCATGTCTTCTCACAAACGGACTTGACCGACACTTTTGCATCTTTGCACAAGTCACAGTTACACGCTATACGCTTTCATACCACAACCATATCTGGCACGCCACCTCTGTACTATGCGACCTGCAGAATACCAGCAGAGCCGCACTGCTCCTTACAATGCGCACACGCACTAGAACCCCCTCCCACCCCCCCCCCCCCCCTCCCATCCCCTCCCAACCGCCCCCTCCCCACGTACTCACGTGCACACACACACTCACACACAGACACTTCATACCATGACCATATCTGGCACGCCACCTCCGTACTATGCGACCTGCAGAATACCAGCAGAGCCGCACTGCTTACACCGTGCACACGCACTAAAACCCCCTCCCACCCCTCCCCGCGTACTCACGTGTGCGCACACACTCACACACAGACACACCCACACACACACACACGCACACACCCACACACCCACACACCCACACACCACGCCCCCTCCCCGCGTACGCACATGCACACACACACACACACACACACACACACACACACACACACACACACACACACACACACAGAGTTGTGATAGCAAGGGAGGAATAGCAAGCAACCGGCAAACACACATTCATGAGGGAGCAGGATATGGTCTCCAGACCTGGCCAGGAGCCACCATTGTGATAACTCCACCGGGTGTTCTTTGGGTCCCATCCGGTGACAATCCGCCATTCGTGCCCTTCGAGCGCAGGGTAACATACTTTCATCGGCATCTCGCCGACTAGCTCATCCCACCGCTCGTCGATGAGGTCCATAATTGCAACTGCCTGCTCATGCGTCGCCAAGCTGCCAAGGATTGCCATACAGTTCCCGATCGCGAACCACCGGAAATCCATCCGTGCAGGACTCACGTTCCCGATGAAATACCCGCCCTTCATCGGCATGAAATCCATGACCCAATCAGGAATTGAATCAGGGATGACGTTGAATTTATTCACCGCAGTGTGCGAGTACTCCTCCGTCCGGTACCTGTAAATGCTATTGAGTTGTTGATGATCGAGCCAGAAGTACGAGCGCATGTGGTATGTCAGCGCGACCAGTCGCTTGTCAATCCGCTCGAGGAACGCTTTGCCGCCACCTTCAGGTTTCAGCATCTGTCGCGAGCATCTCAATGCCTGGAAGAACAACGCTTGGATTTCCACCGGGTACCCGTAAATTCCCATCCGCCGATCAATCATGCAGCATCCGTCCGCACACAGAAGCGTTGGGAATGTGTCGAACCCGTCCGACAGACACAGTTTCAAGATCTCCTTGATGCCTCTCTGACAATCCGGGTGCTCCCACAGACTCATATCACCTGTCGCTTTGCCATACGCTCGCAGAAGAATAATCCACCAGAACCCAGAGTCCACGGGAGCAACACGACCGATCGCACTCTCTCCAAAGTCGGCAATCATCGTGTCGGTATTTCTGACCGGATCGTGCAACACCTTAAAGCTTGCCGGCATGACGCCCTCCCCAAGCGTGAAGCAGTCTACCCTCTTCTCCCACGCCTGCAGCCGAAGTGTCTGAAGAAGAAAAACAAACCACAACACGCAGAGTCAGCACCCCTCATACTCAACAAGAACATTTCCCATCCCAACAAACTCACAAACTAAATTCTATCCTGAGGTCCAAAACTGAAATACTCCTATCCATTTTTTTTCTTACTTTTTTTTCAAAAAGGTGACGGCCCTTCAACATCATCATCGAACCGAGCCGTCCTAGGTAAAAATTCACAATCTGTGCTCTATTTTTAGTATTTTTTTACAGTTGTTTTACTCATCTGGCGTACAGTGGCTTACCTCAGTTAAAACTAAGGTCTGTATTTCAAACAGCTCAGGGGTATGAAGGATTTAAAATTTAAAATTCATATAAAAAGTATTAAAAACTGCTTAGGTGTTTAAAAATCACTAGTACCTTTGTCAGTTCGCAAATACTCGGTCTCCCACCTTTCAGGAGGCCGAAATGAAACGACTACCGCCGATCAGATTTATCAACGGCGGGCTGCTCGGCCTCCTGAAAGTTCGGAGGTAGACCAGTACTTGTCGAAAATAGGCTCGGAGGTACTGGTGGTTTAAGGGAACAAAAACGATATCAATTCATTTTTTATCTTCTTACTTAGAACTCCCCCTGTTCAGAACCTCCCCCTGTTCAGAACCTCTTGCGTACAAGGCCGCCCACGTGGATGTGGTTCAGCGGCGGCGGTTGCCCCCACCCCCGTGTGTCATATCGACCCACTTGCACACAGCCAACAGGCAAAGAGCCAAAGAAGAGAG